ACCCACACGAAACAAAATGCATGGCTAAACCAGCAGAGAAAAATAAAGGAATTGGGTTCAATGGGATTAGAAAGCTTCTTAACGGGAACAGAAATAGCGATATTCAAAAGAGCTGGAAAAACAAGAGCCTCCACCAAGCCCACCCAATGCACTAAGACCCCACAAGGGGGGCTTGGGGCTCCGTGAGGGAGGCCTTGGACCAGAGCCCTGCCAACAGCCCACCTGGCTAGGAGGCCTCGAGACCAGAGGAGGTCTCCTGGGATGACCACAAGGAGGCCATCGCGTCTCCCCGTTCCTTTCCTCCCTCCCTCCCCCTTGTCTAGATCAACACTAACCTGAGCGATGGGCAGTTCCTGTTCATTGACATCGTCATCACGACCACGATGGTTACCCTGATGGGCAAGACAGAGCCTGCTGAGGACTTGGGCCGCAAACGCCCACAGGGAGCCCTGATCAGCATCGTCACTTTGGGCAGTCTTATCCTCCAAATGGCCCTCGTCATCGCCGTCCTGACCGTCGTCTACTTCATCACCATCTCTCAGCAGTGGTGAGCGAGGGGAGACGAGGCCTGGCAGATGAATCTCTCTGGCTGCTTTCGCTCGGTCTCACAGAGGCCGGTTCCTCAGCTGGCCGACACTGCTATGGGGCAGCCTTTCTTCCGGCCTCTGCGATCAGGGAGGGGGTGGGAAGAAAGAGTTGCTGTCAACCCAGCCTCAGCCACCTGCCTCCCTCTCAGGTTCATCCCTTTGAACAGCACTGTCACAGCCCCCGCAAACCTCCCAAATTATGAAAATACAGCAGTCTTCTGCATCTCGGGCTTCCAGTACCTCATCTTGGCAGTAGTCGTGTCCAAAGGCCCCCCTTTCCGCAAGCGGATTTATACGAATGGTAAGTCCTTCTGGGCAGCAGCTCTTCGGGCGGATGCTCTCCTCTGAAGAAGGCAAACGATAAGGCGGGCCTGAGTCTTCTCTCCGTCTCCTTCTCCCCAGCGCTATTTTTGATCGCCTTGATCTTGCTCTGTGGTCTCATGGTCTGGTTAACCATCTATCCACTGCCCTTCATGCAAAAGTTCTTCTATCTGAAGAACGCTGGTGATCTGGGCTTCAAAGGGATCTTGCTGGGAATGGCTGCCCTCCACTTCTTCATGGCTCTCATATTGGAGGTAACTAAGAGGCAATGAATCTAGGAAAGCAGAATTTAGGAAATTACACAGGGCAATGGAAATGGAAGAAGTTCATTTAAGTTCAGTAAAGCCCAAGCGAAGGTAGACCAGAAGTCCCTTTTGTGTGGCTGGGCCAGAGTTGGCTTCTTAGAATGGATTGGATGAGTAGCCAAGGGCCAGGTGAGGAAAGCAACTGGTGGCGGGTCTCTTCGAAGCATCAGACTGCCACTCTCAGCCAAGCACGGCCCAGCAGGTCACCCTTTCTCGCCCTGCTTCTTCTCCAGGTGGGTTTGGACCACGGCCTGCTGAATGGCTTTCGGAAGCTGTTTTGCAAGAAGGCATCCAAAAAGCTGTACAAGCGGCTGCAGTTGGAGCTGAGCCAGGAGAAGACCTTGTGGCCGCCTCTAAACACACCTCTCTTTGCCCTCACCAGATGATACCAGCCTGTGGCTTTCTGTGTGCTGGTCAGGTCTCCGCTGCGTTTTCTCATTGGGTCAAGTTCATTTCTCCCAGCAGCCAACCCTGTCCATTCTAATGCCTCCACCAACTGATAAGGGCAACTCTGGGACTCCCCTCCCCTTGACGCTTCTCATCCTCTAAAAACACTGGAGATGGAAACCTCTCGAACTTCACTTTCTCTCCAAACCATGCAATCGATAGCAGAGTTGCTCTGCTGCAGAGAACAGAAGAACCCTTTTTACCAGCCTCTCAGCTAGAAGCCCCACTAGAGATCTTCAGGAACTGGAGATTTGCATCTCGCGCTTTTTCATCCGCTGACCTTCTCCAACCTGCAACAGGTCTGACGGATGCTGGGAATCCTGTCTATCTGGGCTCAGAGGCTGGGCATGCTACGTTGCGGAAACGCTGACGTGCTCCAAGGACGGCTTCCTTCAGTCCTTCCTGGAGATTCGTCACCTCCCAAAGTATTTAATAAGGCAGCCGACCCACTTGCAGTGCCAACGTTTCTAGCCAGTCTGGGAGGTCTTGCTTGAATCCTCTCCTCCTTCCCTAAACCCCGGAGCAGCCCTTTGTACTGCACGCTTGCTAAGAGAAAGCCAGCCGTGACATCCTTTCGTCAAAGGCAATAAGAAGACAAGGGGTCAATTTCTGCTTTTGTCCCCTTTGCGTGATGACCTTTGGTGGGCTGCGCATATACCTTCTGATGGCCAGACAGAGAATTTTAGCACAAGCAGCTTACCCGCAACAGAACTTCAGGCATGAGGGAAAGTGGTGTCGACTCGAGACACAGGGCTGCTCCCGGGCCAGTCTGGAATCTGCTCCATTCCACAGGCCAGCAGACGGTCGTCTTTCTACTGCAACACAGACCTGTGCTTCTCTGGCCATCTACCTTGCTTCCTGTTTGGTGCCGTTTCTAGCCGTTAAAGATTCTTCTTCATCAGCTTCCGACGGACAGGCTCTCTCAGGGATGGTGCTTTTGCAGTCAGTGCACGCCTCCAAGACTCTCCCCCACACCTGAAAAAAGGGAGCCTGTGCAAGAGAGGACCAGAAAGAGCTTAACCGAGTCGGCTTCAGTTTGATTGGGGGGGGGGTGCGTGCGCGCGCATGCATACACGTGATTTTCTTCTTAATATTAGCAGTTATTTTTAGCTGACTGGATATTCAAAGGAGTTCGCAATGGAATCATGATGATAACGATAACAGCATCAGCAATGTATTAAACCAGAAACTTTGCACAAAGAAAGCCTTTCACAAACATAGAAAAAGATGCCACGAAGCTGGCAGGAGACCTACCTAAAAGCTGGCACGGCGAGACCTGGCCGGAGAGGCAGGCGAGCAAAGAGCCGATGCGAGTCATGCAGGGAGAGGGGCGTTTTGCTGCCAGAGCTGGGTGCTGGCAGAGGCGGCTCGTTCCTGAAGGCTGAAGCGCTTCCGGAAGAACCTCTGTGGGCTTGAGGCGCCTGGGTGCACGTGCGAACGCTGGTGCTGCTCTCTGCCTCAAGAGGGGAGCAGCCGAGGGGCCTTTCAGAAGGAGATTTGCTCCAGGGCAGGTGGCAGAGCATCCCCACGGTTGAGTCACTCGGCGGCGCCCGGGAGCCTTCCACACGCACCCGCGGCGTTCCTGACGTCGGCGGAGAAAGTGCCCAGACAAAGCAGCGGCAGCTTGCTTGGGCCGTCCGCTGCAGGGCAAGCCGCGGTATGTCCACGCCACCAGCTCTTGCTTCCACAAGGAGCGTATCAGCGGGACAGGAAGGCACAATCTCCTCCCATCTCTGACAAGGGTAGACTGCCTCTAGGCCTTGAGGCTTGGGATCAGCTTCTGGCTCAGAGCCACCATTGAAAGAGCTGGCCAGTTCCAGTTCCTCCTCCTCCTCCTCCTCCTCCTCCTCCAGCCAGAGGCCATATTGCACCAGAGAGTCACAGCAGACAGTCATGTCTGGTGGACTCTGGGCAATTTTCCACTGCGGACATTTGAAATAAGCTGACCAGATAAACTATAAAAGTGTGCCAGTCTCCCCTTCAAGCAGGGATAATTATGCGTGCTGCAATTTCATCTTCTGGAAAAGCTTAGATCCTGCTGCCTTGAGAGGAGTTGGCATTAGGACCCAGGAGGGAGGCTGCCTCGTTGGAGGCCTGGCTCCTCTGCCTCTTTGGAAAGCAAACAGAGGAGACCCAGGCTTTGCGAGGAGAGCAAAGTCAACCACAGAGGAAGACAGACGACCACCAGGCTGGTAAGCGGGCAAGGGGCGCAATGGGCTGTGTGGCAGGAAGGGGGCATTTCACGGCCAGAACCAGGAAGGGGTGCGAGGATGAATGCAGCAGGGTTGTCCTCGGAGTTGCCCCTCTTCTTCATTCAGGGAAACGCGAGCTTTCAAACAAACCCTCAGCAACAAAAAGCTAATACCCAGTGGATCCCTTCTCCTGCTCCCCCTTTCAATGCCAGGCAAAGATCCCCAAAGGCAGGAACCACGGTGAAGAGCAGTCAATCTGAATTCCACAGCTTGACGAGTAAGTGGGTTCTGCAGATCTTGAAGCCCCCCTCCCCCCATTTCCTGACGTCTGGACTTTGGCCTGGGTTCCTTTCTCCAGAAAGTGACTTTTTGGAAGCGCTGGCAATGGTGTCTGTCAGCGGATGGGGGTCATTTCACAGCCATGAATTTTACCATTCAGTCCTTGTGGCCAGGGAGGAGGGCTCCCTTTTGTTCTGCTACTTGTGCGGGGGGGGGGATGGGGAGGTGGAGTTGTGGAGGGCTGTCGGCCATTCTTGGCTTTGCAGGAGCTGGCTGATTGCTCCCAGATGTGCCTCGCAGGAGCATCTGGTTTCTCTAAAGCGTGAGCCTCCTGCCTTTGGGGCAGCGAGCCCCTTCCCCTCATCAGCCTGGCCCTCTGTGGCCGAGTGCAGGGGAAGCAAAGGGGGCTCAGCTCCAGGACCAGCATCCTGGTCCCTATGCAGCCTGACCCTACCTCTGCCTGCACGCAGGGAGCTCGTCCCCCAGCAGCGTGTGGCCAAGCCCACCTGGCCCAGAAAGGTAAGCTGGGCCAGTCTGGACTTTTCTCGGTTGCTTTCCTGGCCCTGAGAGCCTCACGGGCAGCCCTTGCCTTCAGCTCCTCTTTCCCCTCTGCACGCGAGAGAATGAGTCGGTGCACCTGCGAAAGATTTCCACTGGGGCACGAAATGAACCATCCAGGAAACTTTCCTCAAGTACCAAGCGGGATCTGCTCCAGGATCTATTTTAATCTCCGCAGCGAGAAGCAAGTGTGTTACTTGGCCTGGAGTGATTTTGGCCAAAGCAGGCTGTTGGCCTGGACAAAGAAAAGGGATGCGGTTTCCTTCCTCCGCCCTCCTTCCCTCGCCACTCCTGCAGGGGCTGGGCATGGAGAAATCCAAGCAGTTAGAAAAAAGAGATCTCCAAGAATGCTCCGGGGGGCCCTCAGTCACGCTGGGTCCCCAGAGATCAGCTGGAAGCAATGCCTTTGCTACTGTCGATGCCCGCTGGGCCCACGCTTCCTTCGACAGACTGACAAAGTTGGGTTGGCAAAGGCCCGTGAAGATGCGGCGATAGGGAGGGTTCCCCAGCATCCCTTGCCGAGAGAATCTGGCCTGTGCTGGTGATGAGGACCTTAGTAACCCAGAGGTCCTCTGAACCAGCCCAGCCAGAGAGGCATCACAAATTCCCCCGCTAGCCCTGAAAGCCTGAGGGCCGTGCCAACATTCCTTCTGTGTCGGCGGCAAATTTTTAAAGGCCACAAAAGGGTGGGTGGCGGTTCTGCCCTCCAGTCCAAGCAAGCGGGGCCCAGAGCTAATGAGGTCACGTATCTTTCAGCTCGGCTCTGACTCAGCTACCTCCGGAGCCCCCCGACAAGCATGAGGACTCTGGGCCTTCTCCTCCTCTGCCTGCCAGGTGAGGGGCAAGCTGCACCATGCCCACCTCCCTCCTCCTGGGTCCACACATCCCAGATTGCCTCAGCAAAACCTCTCCTTGTTTGAAGAAAGGGATCCAGCCTCCCCCCCCCCCCACAAACATGGTTTGAATGGCATGCCCAGAACAGTGCACCAAGGCAGTGAAACATAAGGCCTCTTCCCAGCCCACGCCAACTGGGTGGAGGGAGCATCCTGGTATCAGGACTTGTCTAGCTGTGGGGTCACCCTGGAAAAAAACAGCCTGAGTGCTCTTCCCTCCTCTCAGCAGCACTTCTGGCTCAGGGACAGTATGGCCTCGATGACTCCACCTACCCCGAGCCCCCATACGCCCCTTATGAAATTGGTGAGTACCAGCAAGGGGCCGGAGGGGGGTCCACGCTGCCGTCCAGGCCCCTGTCCAGCTTGCAAAGGCTGATCCTGATCAGAGGGTCGACCATCATCTTTGCTGTTCTATCTGCTCATGTTCGGTAGCATCATACCCTTTTGCCTCTTCCTTGTTTTTAGAAAGCCAAGATTACTATGATTACGCCGGGAATGGTGAGTCTGCTCCGAAAGCCAGACCTGACACGACCCCCTTGCTTCAGTGGCGGGTTGGCTAAAGCAAGACACCCCTCCTCCTGTTCCCCTGCAGATCTCTCCCCCCACAGCCCAGAGGAGCAGTTCCAGTCCCAGCAGCAGAATCAGCAGGAGGTCATCCCTGCCCCGACTCCGGGTGAGCCCGCCTGCTTGGGCCTCGGAAGAGAAGCCCTCCCTGCCAACCAGCCCCCCTGGCTCCGCCAGGCTAACGGTTACTCACATAACGGCTAACAGTTACTATCTCGGCTTTTCCCTAGATGTTTCTGAGACAGAGCCCACCGAACCAGGGCCCCTTGGTAAGAGGTTGCCAGCTCTGAAATCAGTCACTCCTTGTGATGTCTGCAACAAACAATTTCGTTTCTCAGGAGGGCTGAAATGCCCCCAATATACCTCTATCACTAAGAGCTGCATTGAACTCCTTGGCCTACCGGGGTGGGGTGGGGTGGGGAGGGGGCTCATCCAAAGCAAGCTATAGAGTCAGGACTGAACGTAGCT